CTCCTCCCTCCCTTCCCTCCTCCCTCCCTACATCCCTCCCTCTCCTCCCTCCTTTTTCCTATCCTCCTCCTCCTCCCTCACCTCCGTACATACTCCTTCTCTCCTCCTCCTCCCTCCTCCTCTCCTCCTCTCCTCCTCCTCCTCTTCCTTCTCCGCTCCTCCACTCTACTACTCTCCCCCTCCTCCTCTCCTCCTCTCCTCCTCCTCCCTCCATCCTCCTCCTCTCTCCTCATCCTCTACCCTTTCCTTCTCCTCTCCTCCTGGTCCCTCACGGGTGCCTCCTACCTTCTCTCGTCGCGACCTCTGTTCTCCTACACCTCCCTCCCGCCCTCCTCCTCCTCCTCGCTCCTCCGTCCTCCTCCTCCTCCTCCTCCTCCTCCTCCTCCTCACCCCCTGTCGTGCGGGTTGGCGCTACAGCGCACGTGCGCATCTAAGCGCGCACCACAGAATGGTCGATTGAATCGGTCCACTTGGTTCTCGGACGGCCAATTTAGCAGGAGTCCCCTGGACGCAGATGGGAGGAGTTAGGGTGATGCGGGCGGATTCGGGAAAACTCGTAGATTCCAACGTCGCTCCGTTGTCCACAAGGACGATTTTCTTGTGTTTCCTGCGGAATCCACAAGCGCTACATTTTGTCATAAGGATTCGTTATAACATTCTATATACGACAATGGTGCTGTGTTGCACACGGTTGCTGTGGTGCACACAGGCGCTGTGGTGCACGCAGGAACTCCAATGCACGCAGGCATTGTGGTGTACACTGGTGCTGTGTTGCACACGGCGGATGTGGTGTACGCAAGCGCTGTGGTGTACGCAAGCTGTTGTGCCCGCAGGCACGATGGCACAAATTGGCGCTGTGTTGCAAGCGGCCGATGTGGTGTACATAGGCGGTGTGGTGTACACAGGCGCCGTGGTGCACGCAGGCACTGTGGTGTACACAGGCGTTGTGGTGCAAATCGCCACATACATGCTGGCGTTACCCGTCCTCCGTCGTTCGCAGGCATTCCCAAACGCCGCCGACGCGAAACGTGACTACATCGACCCCATCTACCCCCATTTGATGATTGCCGTCATCGGCCCGGAATAAAAAAACAGGTTTCGGCCGCGTCCGCGCGCACGACGACTATGAGCGACGAGCGACGAGCCACGGGCGACGACGACGACGACGACGACGACGACGACGACGACGACGACGACGACGACGACTGCGGCCCAGAGTCCTATGCGGATTCCTACGCGGACACCTACGCGGATCCCAAAACGCACGGCGGGCAGAGTGCCCGGAGCGCACTGGGGGGGGGAGCGTTACGTCATAGGGGGGGGAGGGGGGGGGGGAGCGGGGGCCATGACGCCCGTCATGCCCCAAGCAGTAAGGAAACGGGCTCCTTTTGGGAGGCGAGGGGTCGACACGTCTGCTGGAGTTCCCCTCCTGGGGCCTCTTTGGGACCGTCTGGGGCACCTGGATGATCGATCTTTGGACGGTAGGGCACCTGGAAGGTTCCGGGCTCCTCGATCACGGCGGGGAGCGCGATGGGGGAGCCGCCGATGGCACGCTGGGAGGCTGCGGCTGTGGAACCGGGAGAAACAGGCGAGTGCGCGCGGCAGCTCGCAGCCTCGTGCGCGCCGTGGCGGCAGGCGCCGCTGCGCGGGCAGTGTGTGTAGCAGGGGCTGGCGATGGGATCCGCCAAGCTTTTCTGTCCTGGTTGTGTCGGGGTTGAAGTTGATGGCGCTGCGTCACGCACGCTAGGTGCGCGGGCGAAGCGTCGTCTAAAATGGCGCGATTACGCTGCAAGTGTGGTCTGCGAATCCCGAAAATCCTTCGACTTCTGCGTAGAGATCTGTGGCCCACTTAATCACGCGAGAACGCTGTCGTGTAACCTCAAAGAAAAAATCAAACATAATGGTTTGTAGATCGCAAAAATCATGCGACTGCCTCGCCAGCCGGTTCTGAACCTCAAAAACCCGCACCGTGAAAGCATCTCTCGCTCTCTCTCTCTCTCTCTCTCTCTTTCTCTCTCTCTCTCTCTCTCTCTCTCTCTCTCCGTGGACTTCGCGAAGCTGCCGTTGCACATGGTCCACCGTCACCCGCAAGGTCTGAGCCTCAGGCACCAAAGGGGCGCAGGTGTCAAACGAAGCGGTGCCCAGCTGGCCAATCTCAGGGCTCACAACACGCAGTTGGATCACGGTCTGTTCGAATACGAAGACTCTGGCGGATAACTCAGGGACGGCTGCGACGCGGGAGTCGTTGAAGCGTCGATTGACAACTTCTCGGCTAGGCAACGCTTGCCGCGACAAAACTGTTGCACGTCAAGGGTCCGAGGGCAGGGGGCAACTGCTTGGGATGCAATCATATCGCGAAGCTCTCGTAAGTGTCCGCGGATGGTGCCGGGTGCTGCGCCGCCCGCGGCCAACGCGAGCGTTCCTACCTCGTCGCGAAGAAATCGAGCTCGTGAATCGCTATGTTCTCTGACATCGAGCAGGCTCGCCTCAACGCGCTGGAGGTCGGACTTGGGAAGCAATGCGGCCGCGAGCCTGGCAGCGTAGAAATTTATACCCGCGCAACGATCTGGCGGTCGAGTTGGACATCTTCGTCGACATCCCGGAATCCTTCGACAAGATCCAATCGCAAGATCGGAAACGGCGGCGGCGACGGATGTTCGCACGGCGGAACCCTGTTGCGCGACAGTGGTCTCGACCCGGTCATTCGGCTTGGCAACGCGTCGTCGCGGCGCAACGGACAAGTGCGTTCGGGCCCCCGTCGCGCGGCCTATCGGGGAGGGGCCGCGGCAATGATCGCCCTGCGTGGCCATGTTGCATAGATCGACGTCGGCATCCACGGCAACGGAAACTCGGGGCTGTGGGGCCGCGTCGGGGGACGGAAGCAGCGCGAGCATGGGCCAGGGGCTGCCCCCCGCAGGCAACGGCTCCCATTGCGGGGGGTGGCGCGCAGGCTCGAACCGCCAAGTGCATCGCGGGTCGGGGGCCAAACCCATCGAATCCTCAGACACGTCGAGTGTCTGGGGCACGTGGTACTGTTGCGGCGTTGGCCCAGCGTCTCCTCGAGGCTGCCCGCGGAAGCCGGCGAGGGCCAGGGGGGCCGCCAGCATCCGCCGCCAAGAGGCGGCGCGCGGCACACCCGCGCGAGGCGGGGCGGCCGCCATCTGCGCAAAGCTGGCTCCCCGCCACGGGGAGGATTGGCACACGCGGGGGATTCGAGGATAAACAGCTGATGACCTGTGCGAAGGAAGGGTCAAGGAACGGCCGATCCCTCCGCGAGCATCCGTCGGCAACGGCGGCAACCGTGAGCGAAAGACTACGAGGGCGGCTGCACCTCCTCCACTGTCCAGGAAACAGCGCGCACTTGCAATGGCCCGCGGACCGCAAGGGGCAGCGGGCACAGCCGAGGAGAGGATCGGCCGGGGCCCATTCAGAGGAAGAGGGAGGGAAAGCAAGCAAATCACAACAGACGGCACCCAAGTGCAAGCACGCGGCCTCACTTGAATGCGCTGCGCCTTCCGAGCTGGGGGGGACGAGGACAGGGGGAAGGAGGAGGAGGAGGAGGAGGAGGAGGAAGAGGGAGGAGGAGGAGGAGGAGGAGGAGGAGGAGGAGGAGGAGGAGGAGGAGGAGGAGGAGGAGGGGGAGGAGGAGGAGGAGGGGGAGGAGGAGGAGGAGGCGGAGGAGGAGGAGGAGGAGGAGGGGGAGGGGGAGGGGGAGGAGGAGGAGGAGGAGGAGGAGGAGGAGAGATCAGCATCACTCCTCACACGTTCCAAAACTTGACATTGCCTAGAAAGGTTCTCACATGTTTTTGCGGGGATCTTCTGACCCGGGCCATTCCAGACCCGGGCCGCTCAGGCCTTGCAGACTCCTGCAAGATCCTGCGCCCAAAACCCGGGTCAGTGCGACCCTGGCCCTGCAGGAGCCTGCAAGAGCGGGCGCTCTGGCCGACCCCCGTTGGCATTGACCCCCGTCTCGAGGCCCCCGATGCTTGAAAAACCAGCGGGCGCCGGGGGCCCGGTCGGCCGTCGTGTCCCGGGGCTGCCCGGTCGCCCAGAGGCCCGGCCGTCCTCGGGTTGCCCGGCCTCCCTCGGGTTGCCTGACTGCCCGATTGCCCGACGGCTGGCCCTCCCCGGATTCTGAGCATTCCCTCTGGGGGGGGGGGCTCAAGGCGAAATCCATCAGGGCTTTTGCACCTCGAAAATCAATCCGGCCTGTGATTTACCTTTTGCAGATTCAAGCCTCGAAAACTACTCGAAACGGCATTTCAGATTTCACCCTTTGCCCTCCACCCAGAGAAAATGTTCGGGGATTGCCCGACCGTCCGCGGGTTGCAAAGGTGACCAGGACCCGCTGCCCAGTTGCCAAGCGGCGCAACGTAAGGCAGAACAGGGCACCACCAAGCAGCGCAGAGCAAAGCAAAACATAGCAAAGCCAAGAAACGCAAGTCAACACCAGAAAGAGAAATGCCCGGCAACGCAATGCCACGCAAAGCAACCCAACGCAACGCCAAGCAACGCCGAGCAACGCCAGCACGTGCCAAGCCAAGCAATGCCAAGCAATGCCCAGCAACGCAAGGCAACGCCCGAGCAAAGCAACGCCAACTGCTGCAAAACAACGCAAACCAACGAAAAGCAAGGCCGAGCAATGCTAAGCAGCGCAAAGCATGTCCTTCCTTGGCAAGCTACTTCCCTTTGAAACATCCAGCAAATCGGGGCCGCGCCAAGTTCATGTTTCCATCATGCTCGGAAACTGTCAACGACATGCCAAGTGGCGCCGTTAGGGCCGACCTACCACTGTAAGCCCGAAGCAAATTCGGCGTTCCAAACGCTGGAAATCAGTTCGCACGCACGGGCAAAGCGCGCGGCAATCCACGCGTCTGCGCTCCAGCGCGAACGCCCCTCATGCGTTTCAGCACCTGTCAGCTTCGGACCAAGCGGGCGCGCCGCGCACTCACTCCGACGACGGGGGCCGGATCGGACCTCGGCACGGGGCGCGACGGCCTTCAGGAGCAGCGCCCCCACATCGAGTACTCAGATTCTCCTACGCCGACGCAGCTTCCCGAGCAGCACCTGCCGTCCTTCGCGCAGACCTTGCCCTTGGACCTGCAGCCGCCCTCCTCCTCGTCGGAGGCGCCGCCCTTGGTCGCGCCACCCTGGGACTCATCCGTCTGCGCGAGACTGGCCCCGTCGGCGCATCGACCGAGGGGGTTCGCGGCGTCGCGGCCGGGGCAGTGCCCCGAGCAGCACATGTCGTCCTTGTGGCACAGCTTGCCGTTGGACTTGCAGCCGCCCTCCTCCTGGTCCGAATCGCCGCCCTTCGTCGCGAGGGAGGCCCTGAGCTGCGCGAGCCCCGCCTCTTCGCACCCGCCCGCAGCCTCGCAGGACTCCGCCTCCTGCGAGGCCGGCACGCCCCGCAGGAGCAGGGCCAGCCCGAGCAGCCCGGCCAGCGCCATGGGCCCTGGAGTCGCGAGGCTGCCGTTGCAGCGCGCGGGGCGTCTAAACTTGCGCTCTGGCCGGAACTCGAGGCCTCCTGAATGGGTTGGGCGTCGATGGGGCCCGAGGATCGCGCCGCATCGCCGACGCATCGGCGAGGCATCGGCGACGCATCGGCGATGCATCGGCGACGCACCAGCGATGCATCGTCGACGTCGGCGGAGCATCGGCGACGTCGGCGCGAAGCCAATCGGGCTCCACACCGAGACGCATCGGCGATGCATCGGCGACGCGGCGCGATCCTCCGACCCCATCTACCCCGACCCCACCTGGGCGGCCTGGAGAAACCGAACACTGGATCCGAAATGGCTCGAGCCAAAGCCGGGAACTGACACCTCCCCTCCTACTTGAGCAGGGACCGACCGCCCCAGCATTCCTATAGGCCTACCACGAATTTCTTCTCGAACCCCAAAATGTTCTATGAACAAAAACAATGCTCTTAGAACATAGACCCTGCGTCAGAACAAGACAGCCCCCGCCAGAGATGCTCGATGAACACGTCGCGCAGCCCACAAAAACGTTTTCACAACATCATTTGGCAGGCCAGTAGGCGAGCTAGAACGCTTCGCCACTGCTCGACCCGGGCATCCCCGCACGCACGGGCACCGGCGGTGGAGGACGAGGGTCCGACAACGCACATCCCCGCAAGCCGGGAACTGACACCGCGTCTCCTAGTTGAGCAGGGACCGACCTCCCCAGCATTCCTATAGGCCTAGCACGAAATATTCTTAGAACCCCAAAATGTTTTAAGAACAAAAACAGTTATCTTAGAACATGGACCCTGTGTCACAACAAGACAATCCCCGCCAGAGATGCTCGAAGAACACGTCGCGCAGTCCACAAAAAGGTTCTCAGAACATCCTTTGGCAGGCCTGTGGGCGAGCTAGGACGCTTCGCCACTGCTTGACCTGGGCATCCCTGCACGCACGGGCACCGGCGGTGGAGGAGGAGGAGGAGGAGGAGGAGGAGGAGGAGGAGGAGGATGCTGAGGGGGAGGAGGGAGGAGGAGGAGGAGGAGGAGGAGGAGGAGGAGGAGGAGGAGGAGGAGGAGGAGGAGGAGGAGGAGGAGGAGGAGGAGGGGGAGGAGGAGGTGGAGGAGGAGGAGGGGGAGGAGGCGGAGGAGGAGGAGGAGGAGGAGGAGCAGCCCGGCCAGCGCCTTGGGCCCTGGAGTCGCGAGGCTGCCGTTGCAGCGCGCGGGGCGTCGAAACTTGCGCTCTGGCCGGAACTCGAGGCCTCCTGAATGGGTTGGGCGTCGATGGGGCCCGAGGATCGCGCCGCATCGCCGACGCATCGGCGAGGCATCGGCGATGCATCGGCGATGCATCGGCGACGCACCAGCGATGCATCGTCGACGTCGGCGGTGCATCGGCGACGTCTGCGCGAAGCCAATCGGGCTACACATCGAGACGCATCGGCAATGCATCGGCGATGCGGCGCGATCCTCCTACCCCGTCTACCCCGACTCCACCTGGGAGGCCTGGAGAAGCCGAACACTGGATCCGAAATGGCTCGAGCCAAAGCCGGGAACTGACACCGCCCCTCCCAGTTGAGCAGGGGCCGACAGGCCCCGGCATTCCTATAGGCCTACCACGAAATGTTCTAAGAACCCCAAAACTGTTCCAATAGCAAAACCAATTCCTTTAGAACATAAACCCTGTGTTAAAACAAGACAGCCCCCGCCAGAGATGCTCGAAGAACGTCGCGCAGCCCACAAAATGGTTCTCAGAACATCCTTTGGCAGGCCTGTAGGCGAGCTAGGACGCTTCGCCGCTGCCTGAACCAGGCATCCCCGCACGCACGGGCACCAGCGGTGGAGAAGGAGGAGGAGGAGGAGGAGGAGGAGGAAGAGGTGGGGGAGGAGGAGGAGGAGGGGGAGGAGGAGGAGGAGGAGGAGGAGGAGGAGGAGGAGGAGGAGGAGGAGGAGGAGGAGGATGAGGAGGAGGAGGAGGAGGAGGAGGGGCAGCGCCCCGCCACTCGCGAGTCGCGCGGCTCGCCTCGCGCCCTCGTGCGCCGCGGCGTGGAGAAGGCCGGCTCGGCGGCCCCAGCCGCGGCGCACGAGCAGCGGACCCCTTCGCGCCCCTAGGGGGGGGCCCAGATTTGGGTCGGGCATGTCCCCCTACGGGCAGATCTTCGACGAAAAAATAGAAATTGTCCAAAAGTATTCGAAAATCATCAAAAAAAAGAAATGGCCAAAAAATACTCAACAAATAGTCCCCAGAGTATGTTTTGACTATTTTTGAATGTTCCTCCTGTAGAAGAGCAGGCCCGACTTACGCCTAGATAAAAGAAACGGCCCCAGGGCAGTGGTCAAGACCTCCGTGGTTCCACGCTGCCAAAAAAACTGCGATGCTCAAGATCTGAGGTGGCTTGGGGCGCTGCCCCTCAGGCGCAGCCGCGCGAGCCAGCAGGTGGCTGGCCACATTTGCAGTGCCCGCCGAGTCCAGTGCAGTCTGGGTCTAGTTTGCGAACAAGCCCCGTCCCGCCATAGGAACCAGAGGTTGCAGTTCTGGGCCCTCTCCCGACCGACTCCAACATATATATATATGTATATATATATGATTAGATCAATGTATGTGTACATCTACACATGTACATGTGTACATAAATGTGTGTATGAATGTTTGCATGCATGTATGTATGTATGTATGTATACAGGTATGTATGGATGTAAATATGTATGTATATGTGTGTATGTGCGTATGTGTGTATGTATGTATGTACGTACGCATGCAAATATGTATGTATGTATGTATGTATGGTTGGATACATGCATGCATGCATGTATGTATGTATGCATGTGTGTATGTATGTGTATGTGTGTGGATGTTTGTATGTGTGCATGTGTATATGGATGCAGTATGTGTGTATGTATGTGTGTATGTATGCATGCATGTATGTATGTATGGCTGCATGCTTGTGTGTATGTGTATGTATGTGTGTGCATGCATGTATGTATGGATGGATGGATGGATGTAAGTATGTATGTATGCCTGTATGTATGTATGTATATTTGTATGTAAGTATGTATGTATGTATGTGTGTAGTTGTGTGTAGTTGTATGTGCGTATGTGTGTATGTGTGTAGTTATGGATGCATGCATGTATGTATGTGTGTACGCATGTGTGTATGTATGTGTGTATGATTGCATGCATGTATGTATGTATGTGTGTACGTATGTATGTATGTACGTATGTACGTATGTATGTATGTATGTATGTAGGTATGAGTGCATGCATGCATGTGTATGTGTGTGTATGTATGTATGCATGTATGTATGTATGTGTAGGTAAGTCCGTAGGTAGGTAGGGAGGGATTTTCCCCAGGGTTTCCAACAGGTCAGCGACCTACGAGGGGGAGCAGGACAGGCGGGGAGAGCGGGGAAAGACGGAGAGCGGCAAAGCTGGCTGCAACAGATCTGCCGCGGCTCGCGGTGGCTACCCGGCCCGCGAAGTCCGAGAAGGCCGCGACTACTCCCTGGCCACCACAACACACAGTGATACGTCCGACTCCTCCGCAGCCGAAAAGGGTTCAGCAATGCTACAGCTATGCCAACGTGCCACTCTCCCGCATCTTCGGCTGACCTTGCACCGAGAGCGTAGGGGCTACTCCAGCGCGTGCCCCTCGATGGGCGCCGCTGTTCTGGGGTACAGCACTAGAAGTGCGGGCCGCACCACATTCCAATGGCCGTTTAGCCAACGCCTGTGGCAGATGCAGCTCTTTGACACAGGCGGCAAGCGGCACAGCGTGCCTGTACAGTAACAGTGCATATATACAACCGTTAAGGGGACAACGCTCACACGAGAAATATCCACGGGCATTGTCTGCGCGACGGGCGCCTCAGAGATGATCTTCTTGCTGATCGGGCTCTGCGGTTCCACGGGCATTTCGACCGTCTGCTTTCGTTCGTCTGCACGGCGGGTGCCCCTGAGATGGACATTTTGATGGTCGGGCTCTGCGGCTCCAAGGGCATTGTCTGCACGACGGGCGCCCCAGAGATGATCTTTTTGATAGTCGGGCTCTGATGTTCCTCGGGCATTTCGCCGTCTGCACGTCGTGCGCCCCAGAGATGATAGTCTCGATGGTCGGGTTTTGCTGCTCCACGGGCATCTCGATCGTCCGCGCGACGGGCGCCCCAGAGATGATTGTCTCGATGGTCATGCTCTGTGGCTCCGCGGGCATTTCGATCGTCTGCACGTCGGGCGCCACGGGGATGATATTCTCGATGGTCGGGCTCTGCGGCTCCTCGTGCATTTCGATCGTTTGCACGGTGGGCGCTCCAGAGATGGTCTTCTTGATGGTCGGGGTCAGCGGCTCCACGGGCATTGTCTGCTCGACGGGCGCCCCCAAGATGATCTTCTTGATGTTCGAGACCTGCTTCTCCACGGGCTTTACGAAGTTCAGAACAACGTGCACTCCAGAGATGATCCTCATGATGGTCGGGCTCTGCTGCTCCACGGGCATTTCGATCGTCTGCGCGACGGGCGCCCCAGAGCTGGTCTCGATGGTCAGGCTCTGCGGCTCCACGAGCATTTCGATCGTCTGCACGTCGGGCTCCCCAGAGTTGGTCTTTGGGATGGTCGGGCTCTGCGGCTCCACGGGCATTGTCTGCACGACGGGCGCTCGAGAGATGATACTCTTGCTGGTCGGGCACTGCTGCTCCGCGGGCATCTCGATCGTCTGCACGGCGTGTGCCCCAGAGATGATGGTCGGGCTCTGCTGCTCCACGTGCATTTCGATCGTCTGCACGACGGGCGTCCCAAAGATGCTCTTCTCGATGGTCGGGCCCTGCAGCTTCACGGGCATTTCGATCGTCTGCACGACGGGCGTCCCACAGATGCTCTTCTCGATGGTCGGGCCCTGCAGCTTCACGGGCATTTCGATCGTCTGCACGGCGGGCGCCCCCAAGATGCTCTTCTCGATGGTCGGGCTCTGCGGATCCACGGGCATTGCGGTCTCCAGGCGCGGGGCGCCTGCCGTGGAAGACGCGCAGGTAGTCGGCGTCGCCGTACCTGGCGCGGACGTCACCGTCGTAGGGGTGCAGCTGCTGCTCCAGCGGGTCCTCGCCGTGGTTCTCAGTGTCCTTCTGCGCGGTGCCGTCTGCGTCCTCGAAGATGCCCTTGAACCTCCCGTCTGGGTCCAGGCCGAGCTTACGCATGTACTTCGCCTTCAGGTCCTCCGCTAGGCCGAACGTGTCCTCGACGGCGCGGGTACCGCCGCTTGGGAGGATGGCCCTGACGCTCTTGGTCCTGGCCTGCTCCTTCAGCTTCGTGACCAGCTCGTTGAGGTCGTCCTCCGCCTGGTGCTTCCCTGCCGAGTGGCCGTGAGCCTTCAGGAAGGTGAACACCAAGCTGCTGCCGATGATCAGCTTGACCACCGGTACCGGCGCCATGGCGGATCTGGTCGCGCCTGCCCGCTTGACGGGCGCGGCGCTGGGGTCAGGATTATACGGGCGCCGAGAACGCTCGGGCCCATGGTCCTGACGCCTAGGTAGGTAGGGAGGGAAGTAGGTCGGTAGGTAGGTAGGTAGGTAGGAAGGTAGACAGGTAGACAGGTAGGTAGGTAGGTAGGTAGGTAGGTAGGTAGGTAGGTAGGTAGGTAGGTAGGTAGGTAGGTAGGTAGGTAGGTATGGACTGATGTATGTATGTATCTCCCTCTCTCTATCTCCCAGTGTGTCTCTCTCTCTCTCTCTCTCTCTCTCGGTGTACGTATCTATACATATATATATATATATATATATATATGCATATGTACACATCTCTCTCACTCTCACTCTCACTCTAAAATCTCGCAACGCAATCGATCTTTTGGCGGCCTCCACCTCTCCTCCCCCCTTCCTTCTCCTCGCCCCCCCCCTGATCGCATCCCTCCCGTCGCTCCCCTTATTCCCTGCATCCCTCCTCTTCTTTCGTTTCCGTGATCCTTTCTTCCTGTCCCATTAGATGTCCCTCCCCTTCCCTTCTATAATGCCCTCTCCTTCTATGTCTGCCGTTCCATCTCTAGTCCCGTGTCCTCTCTTGTCATCATTGATCCACATTGCGTGATTCACACACTGTCGATCCAGCAAACAGGCCCGCTCGTGATCTTGAACGTGCAAGCGCCATCCCATCCTCACCGCCAATTCCATCCCCCCGCGTGGAACTTGCGGTTGTGCAGTGCGAGCTTAAAGAGGTACTCCGTACAGTTGAGCCGCTGCTTCTGCACGTTGAGCTCACGGTCAATGTAATACCTCGGTGCCGAGACTGGCGAGCGTCACAGGTGTTGCAGATGAGAGCGAATCTTGAAGGGGTCCTGAGACACACCAATAAGTAGACACGAATCCCAGGATCCCCCATGTTTACGCATGATTTCTGGATTTTCGACTCCGTCCAGAGCGTGGGTCAGATGAAACTCTACGCCCAGCTGATCAGGGCAGGGGGAGGAGGAGGCGGAGGAGGAGGAGGAGGTGGAGGAGGAGCAGTAGGGGGAGAGGAGGAGCAGGAGGAGGGGAACGAGGAGGAGGAGGAGGAGAAGGAAGGGAAGGGAAGGGACGGGAAGGGAAGGGAAGGGAAGGGAAGGGAAGGGAAGGGAAGGGAAGGGAAGGGAAGGGAAAGGAAGGGAAGGGGAAGGGGAAGGGGAAGGGAAAGGGGAAAGGGGAGGGGAAGGGGAAGGGAAGGGAAGGGAACGGAAGGGAAGGGAAAGGGAGGGAGGGGAAGAAGGAGGAAGGGAGGAGGAGGAGAAGAGAAGAGAAGCAGCAACTCTCAGTCAGGAGCCCGCCAGACCTTCGGATCTCGGAGGGGAGGCTGGGACTTCTGGGAAGGTGCCGCCTCACGAGTCGGGCGCGCCCGTGCGCCCGCGCCCCGCGGAGCTCCTGCGGGGAGGGCGGGCGGTGGCTCTGCGAGGAGGGGCCCGGAGCACCCCGAGGCCTCCGAGGGCGCCGACCCCCTCCGGTGGCAGCTCGTGGGAGCCTCGCAGACCCTCCTGTCGGCTTCTGCGAATCGACGCTGATCGACGCTGCTCGACGCGAAGCGACGCCAAATCGGCGCCATCTCATCGACGCCCACACGCGAAAAAAGGGCGCCAAAGACGAGATGACGAGGGCACACGAGGCTTCCACGACCTGTTACCGAAGCCCCCGAGCCCGTGCCCTCCATCGGTTTGGGTGGTTGAGGGGCACTGATCGGATCGGTCCCCCATCCTGCCTCACTGCCTGGCTGACTGGCGCGTAGGCTGCGCCCTGAGGGCCTACAGTGCTTGCCTCACCGTTCGCGCCTCCTCTTTGTTTTGCTGCGCCTGCGGGGCCTCATTTGTCTTTGCTGCTTGCGATCCAGGCTCTGACGCTTAGGTAGCGCAGCGTCAAACAAGGGGCAACGATAGGGGGTGGGGACTGGCACAGGGGGGGATGCATCGGCCTGGAATCGGCGATGCATCGAGAATATATCGGCGACAGGCCCCCATAGCGAAGCCGCACGCTCCTGGGCGGGGTGTCGCCGCGGGGCCCCGATCGGCGATGAATGGACGATAGGGGGTCGGTGCATCCCCCCTATGCGTATACCCCCCCTATCGTTGCCCCCGAGAGGTATTGGGGGGGGCCTAAGCGGAGGGTGAATAGAAGGGGTCTCAAGGAACCCTTTGGGGCCCCCTTTGGGCCTCTGCTGGCTCCAAGAGGGGACCTGGAGGGTCCCATTGGGGCTATTTCCTTCACCCCCGTGTAGGTCACCCCCCATTACCACCCGCCAGACTCGAACCTCCCCCCACCGCTCGCTACTGTTTCGGTGTGCCCTTCGGGGCTACAATTCATGAGGCAGCCCTTGTCGCCCAGGATAGGCCTGGGGGGTGGTGCTATCTCCTCTCGTCGGCCCTGCTGCCGTGCTGACAGCAAGGTGGATCAGGCCGCTCGAGTCCCACTCGAATCCCCCGATCGCTCCTGTCCCGACAGAGCTCCTGGAACGCTCTCGTGGGCTGGCGTCCAGGGCCCGAGGACCCCGCGGCCGCAGGGAAGAGAGAGAGGAGGAGGAGGAGGAGGAGGAGGAGGAGGAGGAGGAGGAGGAGGAGGAGGAGTAGAAGTACGTGTGGGAGTAGGAGTAGTTGGAGGAGGAGGAGGATGAGGAAGAGGAGGAGGAGCAGGAGCAGGAGGAGAAGGAGGAGAGGGGGAGGAGGAAGAGGAGGAAGAGGAGGAGAGGGAGAGAGAGGAGGAGGAGAAGGAGGAAGAGGAGGAGGGGGAGGAGGAAGAGGAGGAGGAGAGGGGGAGAGAGGAGGAGGAGAAGGAGGAAGAGGAGGAGGAGGAGGAAGAGGAGGGGGGGATCGAGGCTCGGGGCGGGACCGACGTGGTCGGGGTGGCTCGCAGGGAGTCCACGGACGCCACCTTCCGCGGTTGGCCGCCCGACGGTGCAGAGTGGAAAGGGGGGGCGGTTTTCTCGTCCAGGTTAGTGATCGCCCCTGCGTGCGCTTCGAAGCAAGAGAAACGCCCGGGTGCCCAAGCTTCCGCCCCTGCCCGGTGGGGGGTGGCCGACCCACCGCATGCTCCTCGGGATGCGGCTGGGCCGCCTGCGGCCAAGCCGCCGGCCCAGGGCGCGACGGCGAAGACGGCGAAGACGGCCTCGGCCCCCCCCAGCGGCGAGGGGTGTCCCCCCTGGGTGACGTCACTTGAGAGGGTCGAGTGTGGGGGTCAGGGTGACTGCATGTGGTTGTCTCTCGGATACGCTCTGGCGCACCTGGCCGGCAAGACCCCTAAGCCAGGCCAGTTGGTCCCAGCGTCCCAATATGTGGCCCAGCTCCGCACGTGGGCGGCAGACGAAATCCTGAAGCACGGCACGCTGCACGGCATGTTTGCCCAGGATCTCCAGACGAAAGCCGATCAGATCACCACTGCTCTGACTTGGGGGGACCTGACGGCGCTCCGGGTGATGGCTTCCTGGAGCAACCGTACGATCGGGGTGTGGTACAAAGGACGCCTCACGCCTGGTCACCCCTAGCGGTGCATTCTGGTGTTGGTCCGGCCGCGCTCTCGCGGGAAGGCTCAGGCGCAGGGCGGCCCAGGTGTCTGGCTGGTGCCCCAGGACAAACACTACCAGTGGCTCCGCCCTCGGAAGGGGGTTGCGATCCCCGAGAAAGACTGGTGCGCGAGGGCGATGGTTGTCGCTCCAGGGGATGACGAGACCAAGCTTCGGCTTCCATTCCCCTCTGGTCCATTGGCCCCGACGGCGATCGACGTGGATTCGGACGGGCCCCACGGCAGCGCCCCTCTGGAGGGGAAGGAAAGAGGAGCCCCCCCTGCGAGGCCAGAGGATGCCCCCCGTGCGGGGCAGGCGGATCCCACCCCCCAGCTGCGCCGTTAGGTGCCCGACCTCTGGAGCCAGCGGTGCGAGACCTAGAGGTCTTGGCTGACGCGTCGAAGCGTTCGGCCGAGGAAGCCGCCGACGAGGGCCGGCTGGAGAAGAGACCCGCGACGGCCACTGTGGCGGCGACGGCTCTGGCGGCGGTTACGACGGCGACGGCGGTGGCTACGACTGGGTTGCTCTCTGGCGGCGGAGCCCGCCGGGGCCAGAGCGGAGCCTCGAGGCCAGGGGCATCCCCGGCGCTCTCGGCGAAGGCGCTGTCTTTGTTTGGGGCCCCTTCCCCCTCTTCCTCCTCGGCGGCCGGTCCTCCGGAGGCTCCCGTTCCCCCTCGGACCGGCCGGCCGGCGCGGGCGGTGGCGTCTCCTGCCTCCTCGGCGGCGGCTCGCTCGCTCTTTGGGGTTCCCCTGTCCTCGCTGGGCGTCGGTCTGGTGGGCCCTCCTCTCCCCTCGCCCCCCTCTCCTCCTCCTCTTCCTCCTTCGGGCCCGCGCGGGTCCGACCAGGAGCGGGGGGACGCCGAGGCGAGCGACTGGCGGGGATCGGACTTCGAGGCTGGGCCTTCTGCGGGTGCGCACGGGGCCCCAGGCGACGACAAGCTCTTGGGCCCCGCCGAGAGGGCTCGGCGGACCTTCCGATGCCCGTGCGGGTGGGAACCGGCGGGCAGGGCCCGCCTTCGTCGGCAGGCCGATAAGCATTGGAAGGGGTGCCAAGGCGCGCCCGCCCCGGTGTCTGCCGAGCCGGTCGGGCGGCCAGGGCTGGAGGAGGAGGAGGAGAGGAGGAGGAGGAGGAGGGAGGAGGAGGAGGAGGAGGAGAGGAGGAGGAGGAGGAGGAGGAGGAGGAGGGAGGAGGAGGGGGAGGAGGAGGAGGGAGGAGGGAGGAGGCACGGACTGGTGGGCCCGGGGAGGCGCGGCGGTCGAAGCTGTTTTCGGCAGTGGCGAGCCCAGCGGGAGCCGGCGGTCCGTGCTGCCCTCTGCACCCCAGACCTGGATACTTTGGTAGTGAAAACAATTGGTTTTCAAAATATTTGGTCTTTAGAAGCTCTGCGTGGCGACGCCCCCGTCGCCACGCGTGCGCTCTG